CTTACTCCGATGACGACAGCTCGTCTGATAGTGCATCTTTTCAGGGGGAAGAAAACCAAGTTGTTGATGGTGTGCCCGATCTTGGGGACGAAACCCAACTCCCAACCACATCTTCATCACCACCACCAAAAACCTCATCACCACCACCACAAACTCCATCACCACCACCAAAAGTTCCATCACCACCACAAAAAACTCCATCTCCACCACCAAAAGCTACATTTCCACCACCACAAGTAACCCCCTCATCATCACCAGTTAAAGTAGCATCTTCACCTGTCGTTACTGACTCCCCATCACCACCCATCATCGAATCTCCGCCATCACCAGTTCAAGAAACCCCAGCATCACCGGTCCACGAAACCCTACTTTCACCAAACCCAACATCTCCCACAACCACTGTCCCAACCATCCCCCCTTCTTCACCATCTCACCAAACCACTCCTCAAAACCCACAACCCTCTCAAACCCATGATGATATTCTTTTGAGTTCCCTTCACCCTACAAAACCACGGCGGCCAAGAAAGCATATTGCCGTCAAACAGGCTCGTCCACACAGGCCAGTAACAAGGAGTGCGCATGCGGTCAAGCCGGCTGCTGATACAACATCTGGGGTGAAGCGTCGACGTTTGGGTAAGTCTCCTGTCCCCTCATCAGTCTCCCCAATGGATCTTGCTTCTGATACTGATGCCATGTCTGAGGGAAAACATTCTGCAACCCCTCAATCCAAAACAAAATCTGCGAAAAGAAATGCAGATAAATTTCTAAAAGTGGGAAGGAAAAAGTACTTCCAAACCAAATCAGTGCTTAGGGGTAGAACCTTTCATCCTGATATACTGTCAATGGATTTAGTGAAGCAGGTCTGTGAACTCCTAAGGTTTCAAGGGTGGGAGGAGTTATTTCTAGAACCTAGTTTGATTTATGAAAAGGAAGTGGTCGATTTCTATACGAACTTGGTAATCTTAGAAGGAGATGTGGTGTCGTCTAGTGTAAAGGGTGTTGATATTGTGTTTAATGCAACCAAGCTTGGGGGAATATTGCATATACCATCTGTAGGTATAAATGAGTACAATTGGAGTTTTGATGAGTATTCAAGTCTGCCAGCTCGATTCTCGCAAGGTAGAGTCAATTTCAGGGCTCAAACTGTTTTAAAGGGAATAATGCGATCTTTGCATAAGCTTCTTTTTGAGATAGTTCATAAGGTGATACTGCCTCGAGGTCACCAACGTCACATTGCCTCCATACGATCCATGGGACTTATGAGTGCAGTTGAGTGCCAAGAGCGCATTGATTGGCCTACATTGATTATTAAACATCTTGCTAGAATTGTGGATCCTCAGTTAGGCTCCCATCAGTTAGCTTTTGGCAACCTATTGACTAGGGTGTTTGATGCTTTTGAAGTACCACTGGGTGAAGGCAGGATCTTAACTCGTGCAGACATGTTCACTCAAACTATCCTTGCTGATTGTGGCATTCCTATGGAGTCAGAGCAGGTTGCAACTGCGTCTCCACGTACATCTGGTCTTGTTGCTCAGTTACTTAGGGATCTTAAAGTAGCTGAAGAGAAGAACGCCTCTCTTGAATCAGACAATCAGAAGCTACGTGCTGAGCTCGATTCCTCAAATGCTGAAATACACAGGTTGAAGGATCAGTTGGTGCAGCAGCAAGTTGCTAACAATGCCAGAATTGATAGAGTTTTGGATATGCTGGCTTCAGCTTCAACTAAGCCTGGTCAGCCTCCACAGTGATAAAGCATGTTTTCTGAACCTGGTTCTCTTAGCTGGTTTCACTCTGCATTGTTGTTCCTTGTTTTGTTGCCAGAACAATTTACATTGCTCACCTGGCTGGGCGTATTTTGTTGCTATGGATATTGATTAGTGTTGATTAGCCGCTGCTTATGTCTTTTTGATTCGTCAAAAGGGGGAAGAGTTATTTGCGCATGCATCACACGTTACATGTTTGTCTTCATCAAAAAGGGGGAATATGATAGAATGTGATAGAATCGTTAATTCGTTTTGATGATAGACATAAAGCGCAAAGAACAGTAGAAAATGTACGCGGCGAAAGAAGTCCAAGATCAAGTAAAATAGAGTTATTTGTCAAAGTCAAAATAATATATTAAAGGTACAAGTCAATACAAATAAGGAAAACCTTAAATATATTATTAAGGAAGGAAGTTGTGTATAATAAGGATTCTAATTTAAAAAAGAATCCTTGTTTAAACATAACTTTCTTGCCTTATTAGTAGGGACTGTACAAGGCAAAAACTCAATAAGAAGCACACGAGGCAGAGAAAATATCCACGACTTCACGCAGAGAACAAGAGAGAATTAATCATCAAACTGAGGTCTTCAAGATTGATAGGATTGCCACGGACAAAACGTTCTTGAGTTAGAAGGTTTTATTGTGAAGAACTATTTGTCTTGTTTTTGTTCTTAATTGTAGTTTACAGTTTATTGTACAAAAGGCGGGTTTGGCTCTTTGTAGGGTTGAGTGTTAGTAAGAGTTGTAACAAAAGGTGGGTTTGGCCTTTTGGAGAGATCGATTGGACTCAATCGAGGGAGTAGTAGAGATAAGACTTTTGATTATTGAGTTGTAATCACAAAATCTTATAGTTGAATTAATAAAACGATGTTTTTCCTTCCTTGAGTGAGGAAGGTTTTTAATTCAATAAGTGCTTGTGTTTCTATTCTGTCTTTACTTAAAAGCAACTTACACGAACCTGGTTCGTGTTCTGGGGTAAGGTTTCTTCATTATGCATATCCATGAAAAGTGGATCATGTGGTATGCTAGCAGGACCAATCATCGATATACAAAATTGTAGTCGAGATACTTTATTTTCTTCAGTTAAATGTGGTTTGATTGCATTCGAATGTTTTCGTATACCTCCATTGTTTAAACGGCTATGCAAAGTGGACTTCTTCATACACAATGCACAAGCTAGCGATCGAATAGTCATTCATCTTTGTAAAGGAACTTCACGAAAACGAGTATGATCCAACTCAATTCTCTTTCGACCAGAATTTTTAGTCATTCTATGAGCTACGTTGGAATGTAAGCGACATTCAGATAGTTTCCAAATACGCTATACAGTTCTCCATGAAACTGAAAAATGTGAAGCCACTTTTCCAGTGATCCTTTTTTCAATTTTCCATCTTCACTTTTTTAAGTAGCATTTCATAAATCGCTCGACCTTCACGATTAGTCAAATTTTTTGATCCTCTTGATGCTCCATATGTTGTTTCATTTTCATTTCCATCACCCATGCCTTCACTGTATCCATTTATAAAGAAAACAATCAGCACACAACAGTGAAGATTTAAAGTAAAGGTTCTTTTATTAAAAACAAAACCAATAGTAGCTTACAAATTCTACATTAAAAGCACTAGTGTATTCTCTTAGTTTAACACTATTTTAGTAGTCAATACTCCATTAAATAGACAAGACTAAGCAAAAATTAATATTTGTATAAGACAAATATCACACGCAAAGTGAAGTGATAAATGAGCTTATCTGAATTTAAAGTAAAGATTTTAAGCATACAATAAGCTTAATTTTATAAGCTCATTGACAGTACCAGTATTTGATCCTTCATGTACGACGTCCATTTCTTCTTCCACTGTTGTGGTTGTATTATTTTTGATATTCAGCTCAATATTGAAATTCAAAAAAAAAATTTATTCGTTGAAAATGTTTCAAACAGTTACATTCGTTGGAAAATTATTCAAATTATGAATCGAATCTATCGCAATATTGAGATCAGGCAATTGTTTTCTAACACCATAATCATTACCAGATTCAATAGACATATTTAAAACTATTTGAAAAAATGAAATTTGATAACTTTATTTGATATTTATATTTTCAAATATCATGTACTCTTTTATAATGTTAAATTTGGTGGAAAATTTCAAGTTTTCATATTCTAAATTTGAAAAATAAAAAATTTCATCCACAAAGAAGAGGTAAAAATTTTCATGGAGTAATGTAGAGTCTGGGTGGACCTTTGGCTTTCCTTAATCTTTATTCAATTAAAAAGTTAATTAATGAAGAGAAAGTGGGTGCTACACCCTAATTAATTGACAATAATTGATTGTAGGGTTATAAATTTTTTTTGAGGGATGTGTATCTGTGAAATTAGGTCTTAGGTCTAACTCACACCTCAAAAGCTAGCTCAAAGGAAGGAGGATTGTCCAAGCCTTATAAGGAGTTCACTCATCTCATTAACCACTGATGTGGGACTTTTTTCATTCTTTAACATCCCACCTCACGCCCAGTGCTTAGAATCTAGTGCGTGAATAATTTTTATTTTGGGGACCCCAACATCGGGTGAGACGGGCCCTGCTCTGATACCATGTGAAATTAGGTCTTAGGCCTAACTCACACCCCAAAAGCTAGCTCAAAGGGAGGAGGATTGCCCAAGCCTTATAAGGAGTTCACACATCTCATTAACCACCGATTTGGGACTTTTGTCATTCTTTAACAGTATCATCTAAACCTGACAATTATTTCTGGACGGATGAAGTATTTATTAAAAGTGAATTATGCATGCAATATATTTGAATTATAATTGTTTTTTAAATATATTATGTTTATTTGATAAAAAATTGTTACATTGTATCATAAGTGTATTAAAATGTGTGATAAATGTATTATCCATCATTAAAACTTGTATTATATTTGAATAATAAATTTATCTTTGTAATATGTATTAAACTTGTATTATAAATGAATTAAAAGTGGTCAAGTAAAAAAAATGTTATTACTATAAGTGGTAAATATTTTTTTAATTATAGTATATTTATATAAGTTTCCAAAAAAAAAAATAATGCATTTAACTTTTTTTTTAGTAAAATATTTGTGGCCTGCCAGACCATTTTATTTAAAAATATTAAGTAATCCTAAATAACCACAACGACCCAAAACAAGAAATCCAAACATAAATGTAAGGATTTAAATCCAGCCCATTAACAACTAAAACCATTAAACATAAATAGGAAAGTAAGTTCCTAACACGTTCTGCCTCTTTTTTCCGAAATGCTTTTGTCTGATTCTCGCCGGAATATCTTTCTTTGAGTTTGTTTCCATCTTATGCCTCTTTCTCTCCCTTGTTGCAGCACATGAACAATTTCCATTGAAAGATATCAGATTCTCCTTCTTTCTTTTTTATCTGCTACTACTCAAAATTAAACTTGCCGTATAGCCTTCCTTTTGGTTTGAGCAGGAGGTAATGTGTTGTCAACCTGATTCCGGAGTTCATGGAAGTCGCCGAATATCAACACTGGTTTGTTCTTCTCCTTTCTACTGCTCCCTTCTCTTTTCTTTTATATCTAGCAAAACAATTTATTATCGTGGTTGTAATGGTTCTTACTTGAGAACATACTCTTTTGGATATTTGTCTACTACACCCTTTCCCCGACTGATTATACTCTAATATCCTTAGTTTTAATCCTAATGTTTAGAATCTGTGCTTTATCGTTATTTGTGATACATCTACCTACTATTGGCAACTCTTTGAAAATTTTGAATTCTTGAAAACCTGCTTGATTAATAGCTAGATTTGCTAGATAATCTGCCGTTTGATTTCCTTCTCTGAAAATGTGGTTGATGCTATCATCTCTTTCCTAATGTCTTCTACTGTTTTCACTATCTCCCATGGTATTCTCCAACTCCTTTGTATGACATTCTTCATTGTTTCAATTTGAATTCGTTGCCACCCTTGTCTTGTGCTAAAATGCAATGTTGCTTGTATTACCTTAGCCTCTGCCTATACGTTCGTGACTACACCAATTCCTTTAGCTTGAGCATGAATCGGATCCCCATTACTGTCTCTAAAGCAAAAATCATAGGCACTTTCTCCTGGATTTCCTTTACTTGCCCCATCTGTGTTGTATTTCACTGTACAATTTGATGATAGATTCTAGGTTTGTGATGTCCTAGTATTTTAACCATATCTGCCCATGTCTTCCCTATTACTTTGAGGCCTGGATTTTTTATCATTACCAACAACGGACTACTTTTTTCACTTCCTGCACAAGTCCTTCAAATTTAGTTTGTCCCCCATGCCTTATGTGGTTTCTTCTTTTCCACAGGCTCCAAATAGTAAGAGTTGGCATGGCTCTCAAACCTATACTGGAGTTTATTAGAAGTTGCAGCATACCACCAACTATTAATGGTTTGCATCAGATTCATTCTACTATGTGCAGGGTTCCTTGCACATGAAGCAAAGTACTTCCATAGCTTTTCGGCTATGGAAACTGTTAGAAATAAATGTGACATTGTTTCCATCTGTTGTGTCTCACAACTCCAACATTTGGATACAATATTGATTCTCATCATTTTCAAGTTGTCATCTGTGGCAATCCTTCCCTTCCAACCCCTCAATAGGAAAATATTCATTTTGAATGACCCCCTTCATCCATATTTGATCAAACTTCTCATCCCTGACTTTCTTTTTCGAATCAAGTCCCAGGCTAATTTAACTGAAAACAAACCACTCGGACTATCCTTCCACCAAGGTTTAACTTGTTTTTCTGATATTAGCATTGGAGAAATGCTACTGACTATGTATTCTGTCATTTCCTGAGAGAGATATTAAGATAATTTAGTTCTATTCCAATGATCACCTACGATAAAATTTCTCACTTCTATCTCCTCTTTAGTACAAAGCCCTTTGTTTTGTCCAATTATCATACCAGAATATAACCTCACCCGATTTTAATTATCACCATATATTATGCTCCACCTCTTCGCTGATGGTGATCATCTTTCTCTAAACATGAGAAGCACCGTTTCCTTGTGCTGTGATATTTCTTACGGTATTTATTTCATAGGAATTCACTCCACAATGACTTTGTGGAGGTTCAAAATACCCACCATAATCTAGCGAATAGGGCATCTGCTACATCATGCAATGATCTAAAACCCAAACCTCCTTTCTTTTATAAGAACGAGCTTTCATCATAGAACCAACATCATGTGAGATTATACATTTCATATCATAGTCACATTGTGTTCATGAGAATTACTTTCAAAGTCAAAATGTCAACACACCCATAATCATCTCACAACAAACACGTTCATATCATTGCATAACATTCATGTTCATATCATATCATGGCGTACTTGTTCATGATTAGGTTTGTAGGGAAGAGGAACAAGAATCAACATCACAATTCATAGTTTAAGTAAGTGCCTCCATCATAAGTGGATCAACAATTTAATATAAAACTATAGATCAAGTGAACACTTTTACCATAAGCGGATCAACAAGTCAACATTAACTATAATCGAATTGAAAACCTTTATTTATAGCCTTGAAGGCTTTCTTCAAGATTCAACCTTAAATTTCTTGATAATCATTAATCACCAAATTATGACCTAAAACCCTAAATAATGCATTTGATTGATACCCCAAATTATTTAAAAATGTGCGTAAAAAATACTATAAATATAAAATTAAAAACTTAAAATATTTAAAAATATATATAAAAATTTGATTGACTCTTCAAATTTCACTCATCATATAATTGGGACAAAAAAGAGTACTATACATTTTTTAACAAATGACGTAACAAGTTTCATACACTACACTATTTTAGGTCTACGGCAACACTAAATCTTGACAACGCTTATAAAGTGTTACCTAAAATACTTTTGGGAACACTTTTAAAGTGTAGCCAATGATTTTGACTTTTAGCTACATTAATTTTAGCAACACTTCTAAAGTGTACTCTTTAATGGGATAAACTACACTTTATAAGTGTTGTTATAGTTGGCAACAACTATTTACATGAATGGTCACACTTTTAAAGTGTGTTATTTTTATAATTGAAAATACAACACATTAAAAATGTGGCCTTAGTGTTTTCACCAAAATTTTATATTCCCTCCAACATTTTAACATTAAAATTTCATCTCCCTCCCATTTTTATTTGTCCAAAACAATAAAACATTAAAGAAAAATTAAAAAGAATAAAACATTAAAGAAATAAAAAAAGGCCACATTTCCTAAAACTTCAGCTGAAGCTTCCATTTTCAGCTGAAGAACCCGTCATCTTCGGTGGCTTCATCTTCGTCATCGGTGGTCGTTCGGAGATCTCGATCTACTCGGAGTAAATTTTTTCAGTCCGCGTGTCTCGGATCTCGCGATTCTGAAAATAAAGCAGCACAGGTTTGTTTTGTATGTTTTTTGTTGCATTGTTCAGCTTTGATCATGCTACATTGTGCTTGTTTGGTGACCTACAGTAGGTTAGTGATATGGAAAAATGTTTTTAGGCGCATGATGAAGGCAATTTCGTACTAACTGGTTTTTCCGTGTATGTTTGTTTTTTAGTGGTTTGGTTTAGTGCTAATGGACAATAGATTGGTGATTTACTAGTTCTGCATCTATAGGCATGCGTAGAGGTTGTTCATTGTGCTTTCTTTGTAGTACTTTTGGGTCTACAATTGTTAGTGCTTTGGAAAAATTGTACATAAACTACTAAAACTTTTGTCATATGTGATAACGTTTTTGATTCATAAACTTGTACTTCAGCTAATTCAGTCGTTTTGGCCATAAGTGTAGATAGTAACTCTATTTGCTGGAAATCTGTCAAAACGCGGCTAGGTCGACGGACCTCGCGATGGGACGTCGTGGTCACGACGAGTCGTTGTGGACCTCGCGACGGGCCGTCGTAGTCATGAGAGGCCGTCGTGATCATGACGGGCCGTGGTCATGACGGGCCGTCGTAGTCATCCGTCGTGGTCATGACGGGCCGCCGTGGACTCCGTCGTCCCATACTTGCAAGTTTCTTCTGCTACTTCTCTGATCTTCATGACGAACATGCAGGACGGACCGTCATGGCTACGACGGTCCGTCACGCTTTCCGTTACAGCTTAAATTTCAAATTGATTAATTGTTAAATTTCTTAATTTTGTGTTCTTTCTTGATGGAACAGATTTATTTACTAGAGGAATTGATATTCAAGCAGTTAACATTGTTATCAATTCTGATTTTCCTAAGAACTCAGAAACGTATTTGCACAGGGTATGTATAACAGATCTTTGATCTTGCTTATTGACTTATATATTGTTTTTGCTATTTCGTCATCATTGGTAATTTATTATTAGTGGCTTTGGTTTGAATTGAGCTAAGATTTTGTTTCTCTTGACCACTATTCATCTTGCTTGTTTGGTATGGTTGAAGTGTAGTTTTGCTATGTCAGATTTAGTTTCCTTGTTTGATCGTGTGGAACATATTAACTACACAAGGAAACTAATCTAATTTTCTTTAATTTTTGTTGCTGCTGTAATCTACAATCTGGACTTGTCTCTCTATTTTCTTTCTTATTATATCGAATATCCATGTTATAACCATAAATTTTGACATCCTAGTAGAAGGCATGCTTCCATAAATACAAACAAATAAACAAATAATTATTAGGAGAATCTAATTGTTTGTGTCTCCTCATTAATTCCTTTTTTCTTTAGTGTTTGTGTTAGTTTGCGTGCATCATGGTTATTGTATAACACCAAATATTTTATATTGTTTCTTATGAAGTTTGAACCGTAATGCAATTATTCATTGTTGTTGAACTCATTTGGAATTCTAGATACCTAAGGGAAGATCATCTACTTTGAACATCTAAAGACAAGTAGGCATCTACTTTGAACATCAAAAGATGCAATCTAATTTTCTGTAACTGCTGCATTTCTTGCCTCTCTATATTGTTGCAATCTGAACTTCTTACCTCTTCTATATAACTGCCAATATCTTATTTGTGTAGGGTAATGGAGGTGATCAAATTTGAAGTGGATGATGAAGAGTTTTTGAACTATTGTAAAAGTTTAAATACATATTTGATTTATTGTGTACAGATTTAGAATATTGATGTATAAGTATGGGTATGTACACAACACATACTATCTTTTGGTTGTACATAAAATATTTCTCGAAGTTTATTTGAAATATATAGCTTCAATTTAATGATTAATTAGTTCATTTTGTGTTTTAGGTCATTTGTATGTATGTAAATATATTATATATATTTGTGCTACTTGTAGGCTTATAAATGTTGAAGTTACACTTTGTAAGTGTTGCTCTAGGTAGATAAAAAGTTACACTTTGAAAGTGTTGCAATAGATGACCAATAAAAGGCAACACTTTTTAAGTGTGGCCAATAAATCTGAAAAGGCAACGCTTTTAAGTGTAGTCTAACAAAAAAAATAGGTGTTGCTAATGCACGTCTTTAAAGCGTGCCCTTATACCTATTTGGCTACGCTTTATAAGTGTAGCCAAATATGGCAACATTTAAAGAGTGTTGCCTAATGTCAAAGGTTACGCTTCTTTTGGGCAGCCCCTAAAAAGTGTTGATGAATGTCCGAAAGTGTAGCCTTTTATCAAAGGCCACACTTTTTGCTAGTTTAGGCTACACTTACGTGGTGTTGCTGTAGGCCGAAAATGGTGTAGTGATATATCACAATAATAAGAATTAAAATATTGAAAAAATATATAAAAAACTTGGCTGACTCTTTAAATTCGATCCATGTCATATAAACTAAAAAAAATTACATACATTAAGCCTGTACTAACACGAGCTCATGCATCTGGTATTACTAAAATTTTAGGGGATACTATCAATAGCTGATAATTTAAATATTAAACATAAAAAATGTAAATAATTTAAATGGATAATGAGATACTAACTAATTATACCGAAAAGAGTCAAAATTGCTCCTAAACTATGCGAAATAGATCACTTATACCTTCCATGATATTTTGGGATCAAAAATACCCCCGTCGTTATCATAGGAGACCACAAATACCCTCAAGAGTTAACACCCCAATTTTCTAGTGATGTGGCATGCCACATAGGACTAATCTCTTTACCTAAGCTTTGTCAATTAAGATTCACTACAAAAGAACTTGACCTTTAGTGGCGAGAAAGTTGCTACAAATTCCAAAATATTGTCATGTAAGGTTATGAGTGATTTTTAATGACGGCTAAGACTCCAATAACCATTTGCTAGTAAAACCTATTTTTTCAAAAATAAAATATGATAGTTAATTTTCATTGCAACCTAATTTTCTAAAATGAATAACTTGCAATATCAATATTAGAAACACCCAATATTATCACGAAAAATCATGAAAATTTGATTCACATCTCCTACTATATAATGCATCATTGTACATTTTATACATTTACATATAACATAAAAATAAAACATACAATGTCTTCAAACTCCTATTTAATCGATATCATTTTTGTTTTTATAAAACAATGAAGAAAAAACACAAAATTAGAATTTAATGTTAAAAACTTTTAGTGACGATTTTAGGCTTTTGTGGCGACTATTGTTGCAGTTAAAGGTCTAGTTTTTTTGTAGTGAATCCTAGTTTGTCATGCTTAGGTGGAAGGATTAGTCCCAAGTAGCTTGCCAAGTCAATAAAAATATGGGGTGTTAACTCTTGCGGGTATATGTGGTCTCTTATGATAACAACAGGGACATTTTTTATCCCAAAATGTAAGGAAGGGTATATGTAGTTTATTTCATATAATTCAAAAGCAACGTTGACCCTTTTCCGTTAATTATTTCATGTTATGAAAGACTAAGAGTTTTCAAAACATTGGCTTCTATTAATCATACTAGACTAGTTCTTGTATCTAAACTTGTATAGTATCATGAAACCAAATAACTTATCAAAAATATTATATGATTTTAAAAATATTATAAGTTGTTAATTATTGTAATTTATAGTATTTTTTTACATAGTTTTAAAACAATAGCATATACCATTTTCTTTATTTTAATTTATTGGTATATATAGGATTTCAAAAATTAACTTTTGTTTCTTTTAAATATATTAAATTATTAATTATTATAATTTATAATACCGTTTTAACATAATTTCAAATTATATATGTTATGTCCAAAGTTATGCGACACTGATAGATTTTTCGGATAAAATTATAAATTATTGTGATCTATAATACTTTTTACGTCAATTTTGTTATAAAACTATATAAATTTAGAAGAAGAAGAAAGTAGAGAGAATAGAAAAGACTTCTTGTTTCTGTTGAAGTATATTCAGGATTCATAGATCTTCCTCAAATCTTATTTACAATGAAGGAAAATCCTTTATTTATAGGGAAAACCTTACTTGGTCCCCAAGTAGGATTCCTAATCATATCCTACAAGGACTCCATATAATTAGACATTCACTATAATACAAATTGTTTATAACACTCCCTATTAAATATCGGTAGATTATGTGTCTCGTTAAAACCTTACTAGATAAAACCAAGTAGGAAAAAAATCTAGTGAAGGAAAAAGAGTACACATATCTAATAATAAACATTATGGATGCCTCATTAAAAACCTTACAAGGAAAACTCAGTGGGACAAAACCTTGTGAGGAAAAAAGAGTACATCACGTATTAACTCCCCCAATGACAACATCAATTCAGAGACTAGAATCTTCGTTTTCCAAGCTTGTGCATCATCTTGTTGAAAGTTGTAGTTGATAGAGACTTGGTGAATAAATCAACAATAATGTTACTTGAACATACCTTTTGCATGTTTATATTACCATTCTTGGGAGTTTATGAGTGTAGAAATACCTTGACGAAATATGCTTTCTTCTATCTCCTTTTATGAATCTTTCTTTCAGGATCAAAAATTTCTGCAAGTTCCTTACTTTGACTTCTATAAGCAAATTATCTATTGCCAAGAGTTTCAAATCTAGTCATCAACTTGCATAATAATACTTGTATATGCTCTATGCATTTTGAATCTATTTAATCCTTATGAGGATGGTAAACAAGTTTTTCAAAAACTTGTATATGCTTTAGATTTTGAACCCATTCGATATTTTCATATGAATTTTGTCAAGTAACAACATTTAATATTAGATGTATGACATCTTCTAGTGTCTATATTGCAAGTCAAATAAACTTTACGCTTATCAAGATGCATCATTTCACTTTTCACTTGATAATTATTTTTACACAATCATGCTTTAATAGATGTAGAATTCATATCCTCATAATCTTTTACAATATTGCGCGCTATTGTATCAACGATATATCATTTTGTATCGATTCACAATACGACTAAACGTATTGAGATCTCATCACTTCATTATTTTTAGGTAGCTACCCCTCTCATGAGGTTTCATAATGTGTTATGTCATAGGTTCTCCAAGAGCACATTGTATCCTTATTATGATCATTTTGATTCTTTGATTCTCCCCCTGTTTTAAGGATTATTTTACTTAGAATTGATTATTCTATCATGCTTCATGCATGTCATAGACTTTATCCTTAAAGGACATTCAATAGGAGTATTTACAACTTTTGTGTTGCTTCTAATCTCCCCCTTATGTTAGACAAACTAACATATATCTCAATCTTTTGGAGAATCTATCTTTGTGCATCATGGTATATTCATTAATCATATATTGCACATCAAAATTATCAGATGAAAACTATTTGGTCCCTGACCATAAACCAATTAACAGAAAAATTGATTATAACTTATTGGTTTGATTCATACAATCATGTTCGTATGTAATATCATATTTCATATCAACATATGAAACTTTATTTTCATAAACAATGATTTTACTATTTGAGACATTTAATGTCACATAATCTTGAGTACTTATCAATATTATCAAGATAAATTGTCTTGATTACATATTCTGAAATTGTACTCTTAACTCAATTATTTTTGCACAAACAATTTTGTGAATGTCAAACTGCAAATTGACAACAAACTCACATTTGATTATCTTATAAATACATCTTTTTATCATATCACATGATAGGTGAATGAGCCCATATTCACCTTTTATACCTTTCAGAATTTAGGGATTCAGTCCCAACTTTAGTTGATCCAATCAACTTTATCATGAGAACAAGCAACGTAAAGAATTCTTGAAGAATCTTCTATTTTTTTCAATGTATGTCCATTACTTAGTATGCCCATCTTTGGGATGACCAAATTATTCATGCCAACTAATAAAATTATTAGTACTCGTAAACTCCAAATTTACTACGCCATGTGCCTTTTGCTTTAGTAAATTTCTTATTTACTATTATATGAGTTAATTTTAATTTTATTAATTCAAGAGTAATTTTCAAATTTATTTCTTCTCAATTACTGCACCCTTTAGGTGAGTCATGATTCCATCATTGAATGAACTAATCTGAAGAAAATTGTGCATGTAACATATTATTTGTGCAAACATTTTTGCAAACATCAAGTTGCAAGATAATAATAGACACACATGAGACCATATAGAAGACACATTTATTAGGACCATTAAATGTCTAAACAATCCACTAGGTGGATGACTAGGTCCACAAATATTTGTTACGTTCCTAGAACGCAAAGAATTCAATCTCAATTTTCGTTTATGATGATCTCACAATTAACTTGTCTTGCTAACAAGCAGTACAAGAAACTTCACGTCTAGCATGGTGACTTATCACCTCATTCCCTTTAAAGAATGGATCTGTATTTTTACCATTTATCAAAGACTCTCATTCTTCATGAATGGAACACAATCATTTAAGTACATCAAATTTTGATAATTTAGTACCTCATTCCATATTCATGTGCATCATTTAATCAATTGTCTTCTTTTAGACATTTATGCACTGCTACATTCTCTTTGGAGAATGGTTCTGCTTCGACGAGATATATTTCATGACTAATTTTATCAAAAGTTCATTATTTCCCTTAGTCATCATTATATCATCAATATGGTGCATTGAGACTCAAACCCAACGTCTTATGTCATAAATCAATGAGGGACTTAAACC